TTATTCAGAATTACATTTAACAATTTTTCGTCATGATTCTTGATAATTAAACGTTAATTTTATATATAATAATTCTTGATAACTAAATATTAATTTTATATTTAATAATTTTGAATAATAAATGTTATCATAGTAAAATATGACGATTATTTAAGAAAAATATAAGCTTCTTCGTAAATATAATTAAAATACTACTTTTCGTGGAAGAATGCAAAATTTTTAATTTTCTTTTTATTCTTTCCATTTTCAATTAAAATACAGAATTTTTTGATAGATGCAATTTAAGCAGCAAAAAGAAAGTAATAAAATTGTAACGCATTCAAATGATAAAATAATGTAAAAGCATAACCAACAAAAATTTAGAAATATAATATAAATATTATAAATATTCTTGTATTAAAAATAATAAAAATATTAACACGATCATGAAATTTTAAACAGTATTTTAATATAATATTTTCACATAAATTCAAATTCTTGTCCGAAGTAAAGTAACGACTATTTCAAAACCTCACTGCAGATGTCGCAGCAGTAATATCGACTAATATCCGACTAATTCGTTTTAAATAATAACACAGATAAACAATTTATAATTCCACCATACAGTTCTCCTTAATAATCTACTCGCATTTACAAATATTTAATTCATATTAAATTCCATTCTCTTATTTTTCAAACCTCGTTCGATACCATTTCAAACATAACCTAAAACCAGCAATGCACCATAGTACACAGACATCTCGAAAAGGGAGCAAGTTTCCAATCGTCCAACAAAAATCTCACAATAAAAATGTTTACCCTATCCAACCTTTTACCATTTAATTCCTGCAAACGTCCCTGCCAACGATCCAATTACCCCCTTAACTTTATCACCTTGCCAACAAACTGTTTAATTCCACAACGGCGGCCATTCATCCCTCTACTTCACTTTATTGCCTCGTAATAATTTTATAGTCTGTTTAAACAAATAGACGACGAAAGGAAGGTCGAAGAGAAGAAAGATGGGAGTGAGAACAAAAAGAAAGGAGAGGAAAGTGGAAGGAGAGAAGAAAGGAGAGATGCAAATAATGAAAAGGTCAAGTCTTAAGGACCTAACGAGACATCGTTCCCCGCAGAGACGCCGCTTCGTAAATTTTTAAGGTTGTCCACCCGTTTGTTTCCCGTGAGAAACGGTAGGGGGCGAAAAATGTCTGCGTGGGAACTGTTAACCGCTTCCTCGGGGTTGCGGGCCGCTGAATAGAGCCACGGTGACTCTAAAACGACCGCTGAATGGCTGAATGAGAACTCATTATCGGGGCTGCTTGGGAGAGCGTCGCGTTGCGATTAATAATCCGCCGCGAACATAGTTTGTCGGGGTTTCGAACTTTTCTGCGGATCAGCTTCGATGATTCGATACGAGGAGGCACTGCGACGCGGCCAGCTTCGTGTATAGGTTAACGCGTTTAGAGGTTATGTGATTTAAGTTGGCGTCACGAGAGGGCGTTGTTGTACTGATATTGTTGGTTATTATCATGGATATTAATAATAAAAGCAGCGTAGTCTTTCATTTTTTCTTTTATTTTGTCATTTTGAGTAAAATCCTGTGAGTACGTAGAGTATTATAGACTGCATGTATAGCAATTTTTGTTTTTAATGGAATATTTTTCTTTTTCTTTCTTTATTTATTTATTTAGGTTTTGCTTTAATAGTGTTATAGGAGGACACTATTGTACTGACATTGTTGGTTACTATCATGGGTATTAATAACAAAAGAAGCGTAGTTTTTTCCTTTTTCTTTTAATTTTTCATTTCGAGTGAAATCTTGCGAGTACGTAGAGTATTATATATTGCATATATAGCAATTTTTGTTTTTAATGGAATATTTTTCTTTTTCTTTCTTTCTTCATTTATTTAAGTTTTGCTTTAATGGGCTATCTTTATTTTATGCAGGTCAAGTCAACTGGAAAATTTCCAATATCCTTTTGTTCTTTAAATATAGCTTCTTAATAGCGCAATTTATTACGTGTGACTTACTATACTCTAACATTTAGGTTTAGGTTATTCAAATGTAGGGATTTCATTATTTATGATTATTTCTATGACATTTATTTTTCAAATATTAATACTCATTTTTTAGAATATTAAGTATGTTATTCTCCATTTTTCATTATATCTCGCGAAGCTATTTAATCCTTTCACTTGCAAGCTTCTTATAATTAGACTAATTTGTCTTTAATACGCCTCCAGCGTAATTCCATGAATCTTAAGTGCTCACGTCTGTCTATTAATTCCAAGGAATACTTAAGAGACACGAATTATTTATCGTAGTCTTAATGAGCAGTTTTAACAAATTAATTATGAGCTTTTTGGAGGTAACCGGCGATTTATCTATGCTTTCTATTTTTACCATTTCTGACATGAGAAAATAAGCACAATATGTCCAAACGTTACTTTTCATATAAAAAGAATTCAATTATTATTTCAAGCAACGATATCTGTTAATATAAATTGTTAAACAAATACCAACAACATGAGAAAAATGACTTACAGAAGAAACTAACAATATCATGTATTAAAAAATTAAAATGACCTATTTAAAACATTATTTTCAATAGTACAATACATCACAGACATCTTGAAATGCAATGAATTACTAAACAATATATATTAATATATTAACAAATTAAATATATCATGTACACTTTTAATCGATCTTTTAATTCATTAGAAACTACTAAGTACCATAAGTCATTAATGTAAGTGTACTATGCCACTTGAAATTAACAGTGTATATATCTCTATTAAACACTGCCTATTTATTTCTTCAAGTCCTCGAATTTCCAAATCCATCCTTCCAAACTTCCTGATACATCCTGTCACTGTACATTCTTGTACTGTACCACGATATCGTTCTTCCACGCTGTTTCCCTTAACTTCCAACGTTCCAAGCGTTACGCCATGCTGCGAGATACTCCGCGGTGGAGGTAGAGGGCACTAGCAGCGCGCAATTTGCACGCATCGTTGCCATCTTATTCGCGAAGACGTCGAGAATGTTCACGGTACGAGTTTATATTCAATTTTCCGTCACGGCCATTGATCTACGCTGGTTAATCCACGTTGGACTGGTTTCTTGGTCTGCGTCCTGTTTTACAAGCGAACAGGTATTACAGTACCCCGTGTCATAATTCACCGTGTACCGTTGTCACAGTTTCCATGTTGTAGGAACGCAGTGACTTCTTTTTCCCGTTATCGTGGTCAGAATCGCAGAAAAATATCGGCTGTACAGGCTGTATAAAACCGAGAGGACAGTCGAGTATTTGATAGAATCCTCGGTTTCTGGATATAATCCTATATATGTTTGTGGCTAGGGAAATGATCACTTTGTGCAACCACAATTTTGGTTGTCTCTGATTCCTGATGAAATTTTTTCATTTAGGTCGTAAGGTGTGGGTTACGAATAAATTGTTCGACTTTATTAATCGAATATAATTGTTTCTTATTTTTTATTTATTAATTTCTTTTTTCCAGCTTTTATTGAAAGATAGATTGGGAGATAATTAATGGAAATGGATCATTCGATGTTATTAGTTAAGTATAATTGCGAATTGATAAAATATATTAGTGCTTATGGTGATAGATGAAATTGGAAGGGGATTTGAATTAAACGAAATTGCAGGATATAATAGAATTAAATGAAATTTTGGAAATATGGGTATAAGAATATGTAATTTCCAAGTCATATGGAGTTATTGAGCAGGTTGTCAATTATGTATGCAGAATTTGGTAAATCAATGAATATTATAGTAGTATCTTAACTTGTAATATGATAATATATTGGGTGTTTCAATTTTTTAATATCCAATATGATTTACGAATATAGCATAATTTCTCTGAGACATACACTATAGAGAAAGAACAATATTCGATAGCTTTAATTAACTAAGTTTTTAATTTTTATATAGTGAATAAATATTGTTTAAAAAAGTTTATAAAATAAACATGTATAAATTAATCTTCAAATGTGTGAAATAAATATAAATAATTAGAGATTATTAGATAAATAATAATTATTGGATGAAGTAATATTATATAAATATACATTGAAATATTTTGTACTGAATAGGTACATTTCAGAAAATATTACGTAAATGGCCCTTTTGTAACAATGCACCTCATTCTCCATTATCTGAAATGGTAATACATTTTTGCCATTTTTACTTAGTTCCCATTTTGGAAATGAAAGGTGCTAGATATAATTTTCTTCAACATAAAACGTTTTTTTTTCGTAATTAGGATAAAAGATGCAGCACTAGAAACAATAATTTATCAATTAGCATTTTATTACACTATTACTTTGTTATATGTCAAAATAAACATTTTAATTTAAGATAAAATGCAATAAAATTCTAAAATCAATATTCTATCAATCAAAAACCCCTAGAAACCAACGACGTTATTAAAAATATTTCCAAAATTTTTCCATAAAATACTTTTACCCACGAAACAAAATAAAAAATTAAAAATTTTTTCAATTTTCTTCAATTACATATCAATTTGCAGAAAACCACAAAAATGATTAAGAGATTAGAAATTTAAGGGGGCAGGATCGAAATCGACGAACATCTCGCTACGCCACTGGTCTTAAATTTCCGTCAATTAATCGGCCAACGTATTCGACGATTCGCCAGGCACGGAAACGATTCGGGAACAGCGTGGTAGGGGTACGAAAGAATCGTTATCAACGCATCATATCGGAACACGTTCTGACCACGCGAACGCACTCGAATTCGTTGTTTCCCGGCGGCGCAACACACCGAAACCGGATCAATATTTTCGAGTCGATATTCACCGCGTAGAACAAATACTTTACTCCGGCCGTTCTGTCGTGCGCATAGAAATAGAGCCTAACGGCCGCTGCACATCCGCCACTCGTCGGGATCCCCCTCCCTGCTTACATCTGGCAACCTTGCTCGTTCATCTTCCCCCACCCTAACTCGTTATTCTTTCTTCTCTGTCGCAAGTCACAGCAACCTGCGAGCAGGAGGTGCAGAATAATCTGACTTACGTGATCAGCCCCGGTTTCCCCAACCTCATTGACTGGCCCATGAACTGCTCAGTGGTCGTGCAGAAGATCGATAGGCAGGTCAGCCAGCTAAGGATCGATTTCGTCCACTTCAACATAGTAAGCCACGCAGCCCGTGTCATTCTTTGCTCCACTAACGGCATATTAACCCCTGGAATACTACGCATTCGTGATTTTGCTTCGACACGCTTTTTCAGCATACGTCTGTCCCCCTTGCTGGGCCTTTGCATAGAGGGTGTCTAGAAAATAAAGTTCTGGGGTTTAAGGGTTTAGAATGAATCATTTTCCAATTTTATAGTGAGGGGAAGTTGTTCCTAATGTATGGGTGTCTCCTTTGCTGGGCCTTTGCATAGAGGGTGTCTGAAAAATAGGGGCCTGGGGTTTGAGGGTTTACAAAATGTCACTTTTCAATTTTATAATCAGGGAAAGTGGTTTCTATTGTATATCTGTACCCCTTTGTTGGGCCTACACATAGAGGGTGTTTAAAAAATAGGGTTCTGGGATTTGAGAGTACACAAAATGTCACTTTTCAATCTTGTAGTAAGGGAAAGTGGTTTTTGTCGTATATCTGTACCCCTTTGTTGGACCTTTGCATATAGAATATTTAAAAAATAGGGTTCTGGGGCTTGAGGGTACACAAAATGTCACTTTCCAATTTTGTAGTCAGGGAAAGTAGTTTCTATTGTATATCTGTACCCTTTTGTTGGACCTTTGCATATAGGGTGTTTAAAAAATAGGGTTCTAGGGTTTGAGGGTACACAAAATGTCACTTTCCAATTTAGTAGTCAGAGAAAGTGGTTTCAATCATGTGACTGCCCTCTTTGTCGGACCTTTGTATAGAGGGTGTCTAAAAAATAAAGTTCTAGTATTTGAGTGTTTAAAAAGAGTCATTTTCCAATTTTATGATTAGAGAAAGTGGTTCCTAACGCATGGCTATCTCCTTTATTGATCGTTTGCATAGGGGGTGTTTAAAAAATAGGATTCTGGAGTTTAAGAGTTTACTAAAAGCCATTTTATAATTTTATGATCTGAAAAGATGGTACCTATCTAGCTGTCCCCTTTCTTGGATTATTATATATCTATAAGAATTTAATTTTCAAAAATTTCGAGTTTAGAAACCTTACCTAATTTCAGACTCGGATATCGGGAATTCAAATGCTAGTTTCAAACCGCCTGTAGTCTCCGCTATAATACCAAAGCCATATCAACAGATTAAGTTACAGTGTAGATCACGATAAGGAGTTCTTCCGACAATACTTTTTCGATGACACCCTCCCTGAGTAGCCCAATTGGGGGATCACCCTGTATATATCAACACATGTTACACTGGATACTGTTGGCTTACGCCAAAAGCGGAACAATCAGGGGAGCAGGACACGCAGTACGACTTCTAGCACACGTTTGCCTGGCGGAACTGTTGACCCTTAATCGAGAACGCAAGCAAGGGTTCAGTAACCCGGATACGTTTGCTCTGTTCCCTAACGGTGTCCTGAGGTTGACATTTATGAGCGCCTCCTGGGGGACCGGGCAGGCTTGTAAAATTCAACCCCGTTAGATTACCACATTTTAAATTAACCGGGAAACCTTGGTAGATGAGACAGCTGGTTGGGGTGAGAGGGGAATTTTTTAGAGTATAGTCGTGTTTAGGGGCAAAGTCGTTCGGAGGGCTCAATGTTCCTTTTACGGTTTTATTCGTTGGCTGAGACGTGGCATGTTTTATGCTGGTTTTAACTCTAGCTGTGTACTTAGTGGTAATCCTGACTTTCGGTGCGTTTTCATGTGATTTTGAGTTTTAGTGTGATCTCGTAGCTTTAGGTGACTTCTAGGTTAGGTTTGAATGCCAGGTTAGTTATTTAAGGAGAGAGAATAATGGAGATGTCTTGTTGGATTATATAGGCGCATCTTCATTTAGCGTCGAGTGTAGTGCTGTAGTTTTAGGGGCCTTGTATGCAAGGTTTGAGTAAGAAATTAGTTATTTGAGGAAGGAGAATTTTGTATGGCTTTGGTTGAAGGTTTTTTGTTGAATTATATGGGCGTATTTTCATGAAACTTGGTACGTGATTTTGCAGCTTTAGGTGACTTTTAGGTTAGGTTTAAATGACAGGTTATTTACGTAGGGAGATGATGGGAATTATTTAATTGGAGGTATTATGTTGGATTATGTAGGAATGCAGTGTTGCAGTTTTGCGTCACTTTTAGGTTAGGTTTGAATGCTAAGTTAATTTTTCAAGAAGAGAGAATTTTAAATGATTTTAGTTACACGATTTTTCTGGAATTATATAACTGTGTTCTCATGTTGCGTGAAATGTGATCTTGTAATTTTATGGGATTTTTAGGTTAGGTTAGGTCTGAATAATGATTTACTTCGAGAGAAGAATTTTATGTGGTTTTCGTTGAAAATCTTTTATTTACTAGATAAATGAACATTTGAATAATTGAATGACGAATACGTACAATGACAATTATGTTATTAATTATAGTGATTATTGAATGCAGTTATTATTAGATATAAAAATAATTACTAATTATGTTATATTTCGAAGAACTATTCTTTTCCTTCGAATTAGTCTAGTATCTAAATAACCTTTCATAGAAAAGAAAAAACATATCGATTAATGTATAAAAATAAACATAGTTTCGCTTAAAAAAATAGTGATGACCTTTAAAACGTCATCACTACTGAGGCATACATCCTCCACATGATGCAACATTCGAAACTATTTTATTTCCTCTACTAAAATTTTTTCCATTTTTCATACATTTTTAAAGCTATACACTTTTGAAGCTATGATCCACTTATTTAGAACTGCAGTATAATTGAAATGTTCAATAAAGTCATCACGTTATCTCACATTTAGTTCTATAAATTAATTTTTTGGTCAATCAATTCCAATTAAACGTGAAACGTTTATATAACAGAATTTAAAATTTAAAGGAAATTCTCATTCTTTTAATTGCAATTATTTTGCGAAATTATAATAGCAATTTTATAATTCGAACAACAGAAATATTATTCAAATTTTTTAAATGAATTTGTTACTTATTATTATTTTATCATTTATTATCAATTATTTGTTATTAATTTTTATCATTAATCAAAAAATTTCATTCGGACGTGAATCATTTATTTTCAAAAGAAATTTTAATTTGGAGAAATTCCTTCTTCCATTATCACGATTTATTTTCAGTTATCTTACGAAATTAGGATAACAATTTTGCAATTTATACAGCAGAAATACTGTTTATTTTCTTTAACGAATGTTTCGAGTCAAAGATGGAGATGCACGATGAAGGAGATCAAATTTAAGATCTCTGAGAATATAATACGCGAAAGTTGCACTATGTTCTCGAGGGTTAATGACACCCTCGTAACTTCGCTGTGTAGCGGTTCGCGAATTAAACTTACTATGCTTTCTTTTCGACGTGCATTCAACCAGTGTTGAAACGAGAGTATTGCACTTCCTTGAACGCATAAATACCAGACTGTCGACAGAGAGTCCCACGAATGGTTGCATAAGAGATGAAATATTAATTGTAACCAGTGTTGAAACGAGAGTATTGCACTTCCTTGAACGCATAAATACCAGACTGTCGACAGAGTTCCACGAATGGCTGCATAAGAGATGAAATATTAATTAAACGTTATCTGATTTTAAGATACACGTAATTTATGACGGATACGTTTATTCATATCTTTTGTATGATAGGTTTTCAGATGTTTTATTCAAATTTGGCAGAGGAAATGGTTGAAAAGTTAGGAATTTTTGAGAAAAAGGGTTATTAATAAATTAGTTGTATTAATGTTACGTTTAATAATTTTTCAAGAATTAGGTTTAAGAAATGGGTTTAAAAATTAAGTAGAGACGAATGCGTAGTATTCCACTGCTATTTGCTATAGTTGGTTAAGGAAGTTATTCTAAATTTTATTGTACTATTTAATAATTTATGTTACAAATAGTTCGATAAATTATTGTATTTAATTTTTAGGAAAAATTCTTATTCCAGATAATTATTTTAATTGTATTGCTTACGAATTGAATAGATATTCATGAGGAAAAATAATACCTTTTCCTTCTGTTTAAACTATTGAGTTGTAATTTGATACCAAGTAATTTTCTTTTCGTTACAATAAAATTTTAATATCATTTTCAAAGTCACTTTAAATACATTTAATATTGAATATTTGATAACGTGATAAGCTGAGAATTCTGAAAACCAGAACTCTTTTGCACGAATGAATTTATATTATTAATGATGTTTGACAAGTGATACGTTACCAGAATTAACAAATTTTCCGGTATAAAAGCAGCAAGATGTGATAATATAACGAGTAGATTCCTAAAACTAAATTGGGAGAATATCAAATTAACTATATGTACCTCTTGATGTGAAATTGTAGAACTATAGAATTATATAATCATGGAATAGTAAAACTGTAAAATTGTGAAATAGCAGATTTGCAGAATTATACAATTACATCATTTCAATATTGCAAAATTGAGATGTTATGGAATTATGGAATTTCGGAATTGCAAAATTGTGGAATTGCAAAATCGGGGAATCGCGGAATCGTGAAATTGTGGAATTGTGGAATCGCGGAATCGTGGAATTGCGGAATCGCGGAATTGTGGAATCGTAAAATTAAAAAATTATAGAACTGTAAAATCATAGAATTGCCATGTTGTATTACATATTTGTAACAATGTAAAAATGTAAAACGATGAAAATTGTAGAATTATATAGGGGTATAAAATTGTAGAATTTCAAAAATCTGTGCAGTATAAACATGGAACTTAGAATTTGAAACTTGTCAATTCGTTGATATTATTACATGGCAGAATATCGTGCAATAGGACCCTTGAAATACGACTCACGTGATACACTATTCGACGAAACATTTCTGACTAACACGTTCGTTAATATAAATAACTAACAGTCCCGTATTGGATTTTGCTTTGTTCGTTCAACTGAGTGACCCATTAACCAAGATCACATGCGAGATACTACGGAATCGTTATTTTTCAGGTTTGATTTTATTCCAACGAACAAACGAGAAACGTGGTATTTGAAATCCCTCTCCCTCCAAAAAGAGAAAAAAAAAGGGAATTCTGTGTTTCTCGTTGTTTTAACAACCCTTCCTACACTGCTGTACACATATAATCCCACCAGATTTTCGTGTTTTGTCTAAATCTCCGTCCTTTGAAAATAGTACTATTTATATTATCAGAGATTAATTGAACGAATAATAGGTTAACAATATTATTATAATATTATAGTAATTTTGTGTATATACAATGATAACAATAATATTACATATTAAATATTAATATTTTTTATTATTTAAAAATTTAGTATTTTAATACTTGTAACATTTAATATTAATATTAGGTATTAAATTGCATGAGTAATAGATTAACGATATTATAATGATATTGAAATATTTGTATAGTAATTACTGCAATTACAGTAATTTTGTATAAATAAAATAACAATATTACTATTCAATATTGAATATCAATATTTAATATTCATAACATTTCAATTATCTAATTTTTCCAAATTTTGTATTTAATTAATTATTCCTATTACTATTAATTACAAATTAAAGCAAAAATATTAATATTACAAACTAATATTATCATTACAATAATGTTAATACCTACTATAACAATATTAATATAATAATAATACTATTCCAATATTGATATTAAAAATAATAAAATATTATTTTATAAGAAAATTGCTATTAAGCTTAATACTAATGTTAATATTCGTCGAATAAATAATACACAAATAATCATAGGAGGTTATTTCGTGAAAGAGTAAGTAATCGTAAAATTAGCGAATTTTAAATTACCACTGGACTGTATATTCTTTGCCCATTTTTCCAAGTCAATAATACCGTTGGAAATATATTTCGTAATATATACGCGAATTGCAAGGACCATGTGGCGGAGTGTGATTAAAAACTCTATACGATCGATCTTTAAAAAAGGAACGAAACCCGAGGGTTCGAGAACGGAACCTAAGGAAAAATGGATAGTCTAACGTCGGACACGTTCTGTCGCTAACAAGACTGGGCGCTACGTCTACCTCTATAATTTTCCATAGATATATTATTTACCATCTATCTAAAGATAAAGTTCATTGAAAAAATAAGAGCTTCGAATTTACCGCCAAGTTTTACTACAATTTGTCCAAGTTTATTAAACAGAATACAATTTTCTGGATTATAAGCACTATGAGATTATCTTCGAGATTTATAATAATTTTAGGATAATTATCGAGAGGAGTAAACTTTAAGATTATTTTCCAATATCGAAAAAAATGAAAATTTTGTAATTTTAATGAGTTTATTGGACAAAATAAAAATTTTCGGAATATTTTAATGGTAAGATTTTAAAAAGGAATACAAATCTTGAAACCACTTTTTAAAAATTTGTTTGTGATTTTAATAAAGTTACTGAGAGAAACCAAAATATTTTGAGCTTATTCTCGAATTTTAACATCTTGTAAGCTTATTCAAGAGAGTAGAAAAGAATATTTTGCAATAATTTTAGAAAGCTTGTTGAAAGAAATCAAATTTTTTAGGAATTATTTAAAAATATTTCTTCAAATTTTACTTCAGAGTTCATAATAATGTTGTCGAGCTCATGGAAGGAGCAGAAATATGCAGATTATATTGAAGCTACGCAAGAATTTCAGAAAATTTAATAAAAATGAGAATATATATAGAAGGTATATCTAGGTTCTGCTATAATTATAATAAATTTATTTTAAGGAATAAAATATTTTAGATGGTATTCGAATTTTTTTGCAATTTTAAATTTCCTGAGAAAGAAAAAGGCTTTGATATCACCTAAAACTTTTGTATCATTTTTATTTGATATTTTTCATTCAACCTTCCAATTATGTACACAGGAGGATCAAATTTTCTCTTCCATCTAATCCAAAGCAATTTCCATGCCACAAATATCCCATTCCACTTTATTCCTAACAAAGTAGCAAACTCAATGAAACAGCCTACGTCCATCATCAGAACCGCTTACGACACTAATCCATTACCAATAATTACTCGTTTAAACCTCACCCTCGCGAATTCATTAAGGCTCTCAATTTTTCAATCGCGGGCAATTTGTCGAAAACCTTTCGAAAGCAATAATAAATATCGCTTAATGATACCGACTAATCAAAACGAATTATCCAGGCGTGACGATTAAAGCGACCATAAATACTCTAATCCTTTTTCCCGTCACAGGGAAGCAATTATAAAAGAAAAGAAAAATAAAAGTGTGAAAAATAAAAATTATGTAAAAAAAGGAATTGATTTTCCGTTTCGATTAATAAATAATTATGGAGCGAAAATATACTTGGGTGATAATTAATTTGTCTTTAAAATTGCCAGTGAAGGAGACTGTTCAAAGGCTGCCACGAACTAGGGGGAAGCCACAAATTCATTAAAACTTTTTATTTTTCAATAGTTGGTAATTTGTTGGAAACTTCTCGAAAGTAAGAATAAATATGATTTAATGATATTAATTTATTAAAATGTATTATTCGAATAGGTTGATTAAGACAGCTAAAAATAATCCAATTTCCTTTTCACTTTTAAGAAAGAGTTGATAGAAAAATAAATACAAAGGAAGGAAATTAATTTGTCACGTGGATCAATAAATAATTATGAAATGAAAATATATTCACAGGGTAATTCTCTTTTCCTTTTTATAAAAAAACAAAAAGTAACAAAAAAATAAATAAAATTGTAAAAAAATAAAAGACAACAAAATTAATTTGTAATTTGAATTAATAAATAATCACTAAGAGAAAATACAATTGGAAAATAATTTCCATTTTCCTTCACAGAAAGCAAATATATAATAACAAATAAAAAAATTTAAGAAGCTAAAAACAAAAATAAAAAAAAGGAAACAGCCGAAGCAAAATTAATTTGTCACTTTAATTAATAAATAATTATGAAATAAAAATACACGTGGATCTAATTTTCTTTTTCCCTCCACAGAGAAGCAAGTAGAAAATAACAAAGAACAAAATTAATTTGTCATTTTAATTAATAAATAATCACGAAGTGAAAATACAATTGGAAGATAATTTCCATTTTTCTCTTACTATAAATATATAACAAGTAAAATAATTTTTAAAACAAAAATGGAGAAAGAAATAGGTAAAGCAAAATTAATTTGACCCCTTAATTAATAAATAATTCTGAAATAAAAATACACGTGGATCTAATTTTCTTTTTCCCTTCACAGAGAAGTAAGTAGAAAATAACAAAGAACAAAATTAATTTGTCATTTTAATTAATAAATAATCACGAAGTCAAAACACACTTGGTAGGATAATTAATTTGTCTGGCCACTGAGGAAGGCTGATGAAAGGCTGCCATGATCTAGGGGGTAGCCTAGGGTATTCGAATAGCATGGTACACGTGTGTTGGCTGTCTGATAAAAATCGGCCGCATTTACTGCACGGCTTGTTCATTCAAGAGACTTATCGATCGTCGTAGGGTCAACCCGACTCCAGGACTGGTGTATGTGACGAAGATATCATGGAAATCAGAAATGGCAGGAGCGTGTTTCAAATGTGCGGCTGGAACAGCGGCCAGCATCGTAAGTAAGACTTTCCTTTATGCCTCGTGAGAACATTTTTCATATTCAAGCCTCGTATTTTTTCCTTTTACTGGGAGCATGTTTCGCCTGCAAGTGTCTCGGAGCTATCCCTATGCGTTCTGAAGCTAATCTTATCTGCATCCTTCTTATTTTCGATCCTGATATTAACTAAAAATCAGCCTGTATATATTACATTAATAACTAATTTTGTTCAAAAAGTTTTCCGAGGTGATAAAATTGCCAGCTGATCTCTTTATTTTCTTTATTTTAATTTTTCGGTTTTATGAATTGTCTTCACATATAATCATTTTAATATTAATTAATAAATAAATTAAGCGATATTTTCTCTTTTCTTCTTCTCTTTCGGGTTTGGATTTTGTGAAATATACTGGGATTCGGAATTTTTGTATTGGTGGTGCATGTGGGAGGAACAGGGGTGTGTATCCTTTCTTAAAATGGTTAGATGATATATAGTGGGGATGGTTAAACGTTCTCACGACAGAAGCCATATTTTAGCTATGGGAAATAATGGAAATCCTTTACTGCAATAATATTCTCTCCAGGTATAGGTTAATTAATATCTACGTTTATTTCGCAATTATTATTTAATTATTAATCGATACATATTGCACCAAAATATCAAACAATAGTTGAAAAATGTACAACAAATATATATACGTTTGTCTAAAAATTATAAAATTGTCATTGAAACCCATTTTTCTATTTTTAATTTTTCCTCTTCGAATCAAATGACAAATTTCCATATAATATAAATAATTACAGAATACGTACACAGTGCAAACTTACACAAATTTCAATTTTCAAAACTTTGCACTCTTTTCGTGATTTAAAATTCTCGAAAATTCTACCAAAAGTACAAACTTGACGAATAAATCGATACGATGAACAAACCAGTAAATCGAAGTCAAAATCAAAACGAAAAATCTCATTACACAGTCATTGTGCAAACAGGACAGATAACGCGTGAAAAAGTCGAAAAGGTAAAAAAGGTCGCAGTTGTAGCAAGTTACAAACTCAGTTACAGAGTAAAAGGTTAATATGGTGGATAACATTCGAGGCTAGGACAAAGCTCAGTGCCTGGTATCGGCTCATCGAGCTCAAATTCGCGGGAAACGAGTTGCAAATGGATGCGAATTTATTTTCCCACTCGTTGGTCATCGCAGCGAATCAATCGGGCAAATTGCTTTTAAAACGTGGCTCGACCATTTCCGGCTCGATCCTCTTCCCCATAAACCACCCGAACATTCCTCCTCCACCCCATCCTCCGACCATCTGCTTACCGAAAGACCCGTCTCGAAATTAATAAACCAAATCCTCGAGATAAGTCGTCGCTTACGGTGGAAACCTCTGGGATATCGCGTTTCCGAACGAAACGACAGCCAACAATCCATTTTCCAGGCAGAACTGGTAGCTCCCAGTAGCAGAAAAAGAGCGGATATTGTGCCCTGGAAGACGATACTTTGCGAGTTCCTCTCCCAATTCTAACAACCTCGCAGTCCAGGCCGGGCTTCGTTAGCAGATCAATCGATCTTCCCCGATACAAGCTTCTTTGTGACCAAGCCAGCCGTTCAGAGTCTTCTCTCTTGCCTCTAGTATACATAGACTTGGAGGAGGACGATCAGTCGCTGACTCTGGACTTCCGGCTGCCCCGTAGCCTGCAGCCCAGGATGTGGGAGATGAGCATCGTTCAGCTGGGCTTCGAGCAGCGCGCCCCTAGCGGCTGCTTACAGTACTTCCAGAGTGCCAACGGCACGCTGAAGACCTTCAACTTCTTGTCCAATGGGAGGTTCCTGGCTGACCAGGACTACTTGCTCTGTATCCGGCAGGAGAGAGGCATGTGCGGCATCTCGTACTCACCCTGCTCGCCTGACTCCTTCCGAATTGGCCCAGCCAGGATGCAGATGACGAATAACACGAGCTTGAATGCCTCGAACGTCGACGAGGGCCTGAATGGGAATTCGACTGCTCAGAACGCGACTGATGCTGGGTCTGTGAATGGCACCGACGTCGAGGGATCTGGATCCAGTTCAGTAGAGGATGCCGGTGTATCGGTGAACAGTAGTAGTCCCATGGAAGAGGAAGTCCCCTCGATCAACACGGTTTATGGACAGGAACGATGCAGGAATAGGGTGCTCATCCCCTGTGACTTCGAGGAATTTATCACGGTAATGGTTCTTGTTTGATCGGGGCTGCGAGTGGACAGAGGTTGGTTGCTGGTTTCTTTAGCTTCGGCTTGGGCTTGGTTATTGGATAGATGCAGGATAAATCGGTTATCTCGTTGACTTTGTTATGGCTCCAATACGAATTTGGTTATTCCGAATTGAGCTCCTTGGTTACGGTGGATGGGGTTCGTGAGTTATGTTATTGGGCTTGGTAGTTTGAGGATTGCAGTGTTATTTGTTTGGCATGGAATCATTAAACTTGTTCCATTGACGAACTGCGAATTGTCAATGATTGGGATGTTTGTTCTTGCTTGCAAGTTGGGGAATAATTTACTCAACAAGTGCATTGGTAAGATGGATGCCTTTAATATTGTAATAAGGTGGATTAAAGAAAGTATTAGAAATTCCGTGAAATATTTGTAATTTTTTTGAAAATAGAAATTTAATAAATGGCTATTCGAGGAGTGAATATTGGTATTATTGAAATAATTATTTTTATTATTTTTATACTTAGTTTTGATATTTGTTTTCAAAATGAGTAGAAAAATTGTAATATCAATTATGTCTTTAGCTAATAATTTTGATGGAAAATTTATAAAAATTTATAAATTTAAAATATAATATTCGTAGTCTTGTAAAGAATATTCATAATATTTTTGAAAATGAAATTATATAATTTAAAGAGGTGCAAAAATTATTTTTCAATATTTCTTTGTATCTGGATTTTAATTGTTTTTAATACGAATAGAAAATTGTTAAATAAATTATGGAAAAATTGTGCAGTTTCTATTTCGTGAGATTGAAAGCGTAATTAATTTAATTGTTTAAAGCAATCTTAATTTAATTTTGATTTCAATCTTAATTTAATCCTGTTGAAAAATAAACTCAGTGTTGAAATAATAAATATAATGAATATAATATCGATGATTGTTCAGCAATTTATTTAATCTCAATTACTGCAGTTTAAATTCGCTGCATTTGCACGTGGAATAAAATTATGAATTACCTCGTTCAAGATGAAAATAATTTATGTCATTTTAATTGCTCGTTTGTGACTTTTTTTACTTTCAGTGGAATTTAGATGATAATTCCTTGTTTACTGCAACTTTGTTGTTTGCTCGAGAACAACTGATTTTTGTAAGCAGTTATAACTAAACTGTTGGACAATTAAAAACTTTGTGGAACATTGTAGAAGCAAGCATGCATCCGGCTTGTTGTACAGGAGACTACATGGAGCAGTGCAATTTAGTAAGGCATCTCCAGTGCAGTTGCTCTTGTAGTTGTAAATAGTTACTATGCACGCTGTAAAATGTCATAGAGAAAAATTTATTACTGACACTGCAATATTTCTAAAAAATTACGCGGGAAAATGTACTTAATTTTCAAATTGTATAAATTAGTAGTTTAGTACTTAAATGAGAAATAATAATATGAACTTAATTTTATGTTTTTATTTTAATATTAACATAATTTTACTTTCCTCTTTTATTTACATTTTATTTCAGAATGAAGTGAATTGTTTTTATATTTTTATTTTAATATTAACATATTTTTACTTTCCCCTTTTATTTATGTTTTATTTCAGAATTAAGTAAATTGTTTTTATAATTAAAATTAATAGAATATAATATAACACAAATATATAAAATATTTACATTACTAAATATGAAAAAAATTTTTTTTTCTTAAATATTATACTTTTTGGTTTAAGTATTATATGCATGATAAAGATTTGCATGTAAATGTGTTAGATGTTCTATGCATGTCTTTGCTTTCTAGTCTATTATATTTAATTTTGATAAAATTAAGAAATATTGATACAAATATATGCTTGATATTATGCCATTTTGAAAACAGCTATTTCAATTTATTTGATTACTAATACTAATTACGTTAATCATTTACATTTACACTAGAATTCAAATAGGAAGAAATCTATGTGAGATGAAACTCGGTAGAGTAGAAAACAGCTTTTCCCCTTTCTTAATTTCGTTCATTTTTCACAACAACGAACAAGGCTCCAGCTGAGTATGCTTAATGTGAGCTTATGCAAGGCGAAAAATTACAAAGCATGTGTCTAAAACGTGGAAAAACGTCGCTCCTTATCAAAAATAGTATTTGAGCATACTTATATTTTAAAAAAGTGTAAAAATTGCAAAAAGTGTAAAGAAAATCGCGATTTTAAATGCTTAAAAGGTATAAATAAATACGTGTTCATTGAGATAAATTATAATAAAAACGATTTTTGCGATCCAAATTATTATTTTCGAAATTTATAGAAATTTTTAGAAATAGGATATTTCAATAATTATATTAGGTTTTAATTCTTATCCTGTTATTCATTTAATTAATAGCACATCAATTATCAAATTTAAATGTACCCCGCTATTTTGGAAAAAAAATTACATATTTCAGTAGTATAATTAATTAAATAAAATATTTAGAATATTAACATACCTTTTAATACGAACAAAATCACTCCTTTGTTAACGATTATTGCAACTTACGCTCCCACTTTTATACTACTTACAATAATAAGTAATACTAAAGCTAAAATAAATTATTCCAGAAATTACATCTTACTAATCGCAAGCAGAAAAACACTTTTGACTACTAAAAAAAAATTTTCTTTTACCATTTAATTTAAAGAATCACTTTAATTACATTCAAATTATGCAAAAAGTTATTCTTATTAACATTGTCATAATTATTCTAAAATTATCAATGTACATGAAACAAACAACATAAAGAATCGAGAATTAATCAATTACTAATTATAGTAATTATTATTATTTATGAAATTACTATTCTTCGAAGTTATAATAATAATTATTATCATTATTATTGCTTTATTCAATGTGTAATTAAAATCGTTTAAAAATTTCCAATGTATACAAATCCGACAAACAAACAAAATAAAGGAGGGAGAATTAAATAATTACTCATTATGGTAGTTATTATTATTTATAAAATTAGTATTCTTCGAAGTTATCATTATTATTATTGCTTTATTGAATGCGCAATTAAAATCGCTTAAAAGTTTCCAATGTATACAAATCCTACAAACAAACAAAATAAAGGAGGAAGAATTAAATAATTACTAATTATGGTAATAATATAAAATTAGTATTCTTCGAAGTTATCATTATTATTATTATTGCTTTATTGAATGCGCAATTGAAATCGCTTAAAAATTTCCAATATACACAGATGGAACAAACAAACAGAATGAAAAAGAAAATCTCATAATCAATAACTCCGAAAGACCAATTTCAATCCAACTGAAGATCAACCAACCTTTTCTTCCTGCACCAATCAGACGTCGATCCCCGTGAAACGCGATGTTGCTGGCGTGCCGAACGAAATTTTCGTAATTTCCTGTTGCAGCCTGGCAACAACGAGGCCGGGATTTGCAACCTTGAACACTGCGGCAACTCGCTGTGCGATCGAAACGAGCTGGACGAAGAGGGTAACTGCCGCGTGGAGACCTGGGCAACGCCCTTTCGTATCAGGGTGGCTTTCGGCCCTGGACAGGATACCGGGACCACGCTCGAGGACAATATTGGCATGTGTCTCGTGTACGAACAACTACCCTGCGTCGCCTGAACGGCCTTCGTGTGATAAATGAGTCGCGATGCCGGGTAGAACAAGTTCGAAATTCATGAGTTATCCAAAGATCGATTGGGTGCACGTCGAATATTTCATCAGCACGGTTTTGGCGTTTGGTACGATTTGGGATTGCTTTCTCTAGCAATTGGAACTTCGCGGTCCTTGGTCAGATTTGTCACATTTCTTTCTCCTACGAGAGTGAAGGTTTGGCTGCACAGTCAGCCACGAAAAGCCACGTATAATTGATTCATTTGAAATATTGCAACGAGGGTTGTAGCAAAACGAATTTTCTTCTTGACATCAAATTTTATACTAATTGAATTTAGATATGTATCAAGCAGAAAATAGTGTTATGAAATTATAGAAAAGGGAAATTTTATAGTGCATTGAAATTTGGTGGAATTAATGTTGTAATATTTGTAATATTTCTGCAATAAAGCCTTGAGCACTGACACTCAGTTTTTGGAATACTGAAATAATCTATTATTTCACGATTACGAAATTATAGAAATATTCGATTAGTTGCTATTTAGAAATGAAAATTATCAACTGCGTGAAAGTAAAGTGGTATATACTTATATCAAGTAGACCCTATCAGATTTTGTGGCAATTGTGGGTTAAAAAAATTGCGGGTTTTGTATTGGCGGGTGTCATTTTGTCAATTGGATGTATATATGCATGCTTTCGTGACTGACTGTATAGACCATGTCTTAGGACGAATGATACAATCGGGGTGCAGATTATTCTACATATAATTATTACTAGAGTAATAATGTACAAAAATATAAGGAATATAGTCTACGAACAAAAATAAAAAGAAAAAAAGGAATAAAATTTTTTCGTTTGAAGCTTCATTTCCGAGAAAGGAGACTTCGAATATTCGTGGGTGCGCGTGCACTCAGCCAGTGCGTTCAGCGTTCGATCGCGAGTGCACGCGTCAGCCGGGTACACGTGCACTCGAGTGCGCGTGCACCCACCGAACAGTCAACCTCGATTTTATCGAAAACGAGGTGGTAAACGAAAAAATTTTGTTCTTCCTTTTTCTCTTATTTTTGCTTGTAGAATAATTTTCTGTCCAATTTTCCTAACTTGGTAGAAATTTTGTTTTTCCCGATTAGACTTACTTCTTTACGAAGAACGATTTCTCGTCTCGTTTTATCAGTCGTCCTGCGACACTCAGTGGGTGAAAATGTACGAGACCAGTGTATGAATATTAACACTACCGATGGGGAAGGCCACATGGTGTCCAAACTGAAACCATTGTAACTTAATATGAATAAATAAATAATGTTAATAATAAAAACTAACGATCTTCGTCTACAGACCATTTAATGGTAATTATAGTCATTACACGAATGATTAAAATTATTGGCGTTCTCCGTCGTTAAAGTGTCAATACATCAGATTTCTTAATTCCAATTGTTACTCAATTTGTTATTATTTATCGACGATATATGTTTACCGTGTATTTATCGTTGACCTTGTAATTATCCAAAACTATCGAAGTAACTTAAAGTTTGCTCAAAACTCTTCGACCAAAATATTTTACTATTCTACTGTAGATAGGAAATCTTTTATAAAGTAAGAATTAGTAAAAATTATTAAAAATAAATTTATTACGTTCATCTTAACTAAAAAAGCTGAATTTTTAACATAACCTTCATTGTTTAAAATCTTTTTGCAAATGATATTTATTAATCAAAATGTAAATATAACAGAGACTTGCCAAACTATAGAGCACCTTTTCATCACACTCTTGCTGAACTTCCAACTGCACGCTTTTACCCACATTGTCAACCCTCTTCTCTCTGGCTCTGGACTCATACTTTTAACTGACTGTACCTCAACCCTCAGTTCGCACATTTCCCCATCCCCATATATCCTTGCACACTTGTACGTTGCTCTTTGTTTAGCTCTCTATTTCTTTTGCTTTGCTCAGCAATTTCTCAAAGACATTCAGCCACGTCCACCCTTAAATCCATCTGAAGCACCTGATTCAACACTCTTCTTTGACATCTAGACTAGGCACCCTTCACTCGCGTATCCATTTTCTCGGTCCAAATATCACTCGTATTAACTCAATCTCTCTTATGGTATCAAAACACACTTGTTTCATATTTCTAACATTCTAGATCAAGAGTCTTCAGACATCCTTCACTTATATACCTTTTGTCCTAAATACTCCTCGTATAAATTCCATCATTCTTATAATACCGAAGCATCCTCCTGTCACACTTCTGAAACTTTGACCAAGCATTTTTCATACGTATAAGTACTTATAATAAATAGTCTTTGTATGTAAATTCCTCCATTCGTATAATGTCAAAACGACATGTCTTTACATTTTTAATATACCAAACCAAGTTTATTCTTCATTCGTGTGCCTATTTTCTTAGCTGTAATAATCTTCATTCATATTTCATCACCCACTTCTAGATTAAATACTCCTCACTTAAATTTCATAATTTTTATGATATCAAAGCACTCTTCTTTTATGTTCTCAGCACTGTAAACCAAACACTGTTCACTCGCATACTTATCTTTTGACCCAAATGCTCAGTATCGGAATTTTCATATTTCAGAATTTACAGAATTTTGCATTTGCACAGGAGTAGCACTCTGATCTAATCATTTTTCACAGTAGCTTCACTCTAGAAATGTTAAAACACTTTTCATTCATAACCCTAGAATCCTAGATCAAAAACTCTTCAGTTCTATGTCATTTATTTTGTTAAAATACTCTTCATCATCCACTTCTAGATTAAATACTCCACACTTAAATTTTATAATTTTTATGATATCAAAGCACTTTTATTTTATGTTCTAAAGACCTAAACCAAACACTGTTCACTTGCACACTTATTTTTTGACCCGAGTAATTAGTATCGGAATTTATCATTTTCATAATACCACAGAATTCTGTATTTGCACAGAACTAGCACTCTTATCTAATCATTTTTCACAGTAGTTTCACTCTAGAAATGTCAAAACACTTTTCATTCATAACCCTAGCATCCTAGACCAAAAATTCTTCACTTCCATCTCATTTATTTTATTAAAACATTCTTCCTATTAATTTTGTCATATTCATAATATTAGAACTCGCAATACCTTGGTTCAAGCATTTTTCGTTTGTACATCTATCATCTTGGCCCAAATCCTTTTCCCAAACAAACTCCATGCACCCACAATAACGTGTCATTCCTTATTCACGCATCCATCACTCTACCAAACGCTCTCCATTATCTCCCTACACTCTCTAACTCTCTAAAAGAACCAAATCATCGAACACACCTCCCTCGTCTATAAAACCAAAAATCCCATCAACAAAATCATAAACAACAAAACAGAATCCTCTAAAATCTGCACAGAGAAAATTTCAAGTGTACACAAACTGTGCACAAAAGACCAAGAAACGATGAATGAAAATGACATAATTAAGTACCATTTAATACAGGTCAATTTAAGAGGATCAAAAAATCCAAAAATTCCAAGCTTCCCTAATTACAAAATCAAATACAATGCAACGACGATTATGCGAATACAGAAATTACGTACTGCATTACCCTGGCCAGAACATCATTTAATCTATACCCAATTTCACAGTATTATATACAAGTTTGCGAAGAAGATATTTTTAATTTCTAGTGGATTTATGACATAATCCAAAATTTGTCTTTCTCTTTATTTTATTATTTTATTTTACCAATTATTTGTCCAACAGACTTGTGTGCCAATTAATTCGCATAATCGTCATTCTACCGTGCTAATGTATACTTCGTTCAACGAGACGAGTCCATATGTATCTTCAGTCATCGACAATGTACTCTGATTTCCGATTTTCATTGTCACTTAGGCGTTCGTTTCTCATTTTCGACTCGTCTTGTTGAGCCACCAAGTATAGTAGCTCACCACAGCAATAAGTTCGCGTAGAAAATATTTTTAATTTCTAGTCGATTTATGACATAATCAAAATTTTGTCTTTCCCTAACCAATTATTTGTCCAACAGTCTTGTCTGCCAATTAATTCGCATAATCGTCGTTCTACCGTGCTAATGTATACTTCGTTCAACGAGACGAGTCCATATGTATCTTCAGTCATCGACAATGTACTCTGATTTCCGATTTTCATTGTCACTTAGGCGTTCGTTTCTCATTTTCGACTCGTCTCGTTGAGCCATCCAGATGTGTAGTAGCTTACCACAGCAATAACCAATTAAAACACTGCGTCTGCATCGAATGACCTGGTCTGCTCCCTCCCTCGACGTTGGAGGCGCACAGCCTCTGCCTGATGAGAAGCAACGGGTACATAGGAACTCGGTATAGTGAACTGAGACCAACGTCGGTACACCGATCGTTCAAAGAGTTAAATAGTCTTTATTTACAAACGAACTAGCTTAAATCGCAAACGCAGCGCACAACTCTCGATACAATAATAGATATATAATTCGCTTTTTCATTTTTTTTCCATTTTTTCCTCCCCTTTTTTACCTCCATCTTCGCTTCTGTTCATCCCGATTCGCGCGTTACCATGATCGGCCGCGATACACCGCCCAGTCCGAGCGAGGAACGCGCGTCGATCCTAACCACCCCCTAACCTCTTTCTCGCGGAAATATCTCGCTCGTTCCGCGTTCTCACCCCTCTCCACCTTGACATAAGTCTGCCATTGCATCGATCCGCTTGGCTCCGAACGCGTTTCAACCCTACTCGAACTGGAATGGGGCCGACGATGGTCACGGGGAATCGCAGCGATAACGATAATGATGTTACAAGAATAAATTATAATGCTATTAAATACAATAATGAAGGTGACGTCACGCCGGAATTTCGAAAGGAACACGGCTCCGACCAGAACACGGCGTGACGTTACGAGCTCCTCATCATCGTCTGTATTCTTCGACACGCGTCATCTGTCCGCCTGATCGTCGACATCAACGTTCATCGTAACTTCTCTTTACTCTTCGCTTCGCGTCCATTAAGTGTATAACCGTAATGA